CTTACCCACAATCTTGGCTGACATCTCCTCAAGCAGCTTTTTCAAGGAGTTGTGGATCAGTGGGTTTTCCTGTTCGCCGTTCTGGGCCTCCATTTTGGGTTCACCGCCGGCGCCATCTTGGGAGTGCTCAGCCTGGCTGCTTTTGAGGTGAAGAAATAGCTTTTCTCAAAAAAAAAAATAGTTTTTCTGAGTGTATTGTATGTGTTTATTGGTTGTGTTCCAAAACCCTGTGGGTGGTACTAATGTGTAAGAATGTGTACATAAGAACAATAAACCCACAGCTCTGGCTGTTCACTGCTTGACCCTCAACACAGAGCTTTGTCTCGTTCTTGGGGGGATTTATTGTATGCTGTTCCAGTTCGACTGCTAGGAATGTAAACCTATTCGTATGTTTTTTCCTATTCAGCTGTTTACGGCATTCATATGGTTTCCTGTTCGGCGGATAGGTGTTCTGCAGTAGCTGTGCCTGTGTCTCTGGAAGGGAAGATCTACTAAACGGCGGTTTAACCCTTTTATGCTGAGGGTGCCGTTACAGGTCCTAAATAACCAAATGGTGGAACTATAGGTAATAGCATAAACTAATCAATATGCCATAATAGGCTTAAACAGAAACATGGTTGGATGATACACATGACTGGACAATTATCTTAAATGGTTACATATTATTTATTTATAAAGGAATGTTAGAAAAAAACAGGAAATGTGCTGGGGTATGTTTATTGTCAACCGATCTTAAACAATTTGGAATGTGACTGGGAAAATGTGGAAGCTTTATGGGTAGATATCTGCTTGGGGTAAAAGAAGGGAAATCAATTATTGGTTGGGATATGTTACAAATCACCTGATGTATGAATAATGATGAATAACAGCTGTTAGAGAAAATTGGGAAAGCTGCAAATCGAGGTAACATGTTAATTACTGGAGATTTTAATTACCCGGACATAAATTGGAATAGATGGACTAGTATTTCAGCAAGGGGAATCCGGTTTTTGAATGTGTTAAAGGACACCTTCATGTAACAACTGGTACAAGCACCAACTAGAAAGGATGGTTGTCTGGATCTCGTTATAACAAACAATGTGGATCTATTGAAAAACATTCAAGTAGGGGAGCATTTGGGAAATTCACACATAATTTTAAAAAGGCCAATTCCGGTAAGATAAGGGCAGCTTTACAATATATTAACTGACATAAACTCTGAGAATAAGATTATCTTCAAACAAATATTAGAAAGGTATATTTCTCAGTATGGACTACTGGGTAATACATATCAAAGAAACAAATTGAAACCAATGTGGCTTAGTGGCTGTTAGGTTGGTGAAAAATTTGTTAAAAGCACTTAATTTGCCATGGACTTCTATTAATTTATGAATCGATGGTTTTGTCTGTACTGGGAAGCCTAATTGAATGACACACACGTTGTTGGTTCAAAAGGACTACAATTCTAATTGTGACACACATCAGTACATGAAATGAGCATTATACATGCCCCTTATTGGATCATCCAATAGGGTACTAACACACAGTTCTTAAAGGGGCTTAAAGGAAATAGGGGAGATAGATAGACACACACATTCTTGCAGCCTGCAGGATATGGGGAGGGTAAATAAAATAGGGTAAACAGATGGTCACTGCCATACAAAGACAGGATACCAATGTATAGGAGTGTACAGCCAACACCATGTCTAAAATGAACAGAACTTAGCTTGTTAGTCTAGGGCAGGGGTCCTCAAACTGTGGCCCCCCAGATGTTGCTGAACTACAACTCCCGTGATTCTTTGAATTACATAGATAGCCAGAGCATCATGGGAGTTGTAGTTCAGCAACATCTGGGGGGCTGAAGTTTGAGGACCCCTGGTCTAGGGGCTTCTTCACTAACATGTTAAAAATTAAGAAGCATAAAAATAATAACATTCTATCAGTGGGAAAATAAACCAAGAGATTAAAAATAAGAAAAGGGCACTTAAAGCATTTACTTGGACACATTAGAGGCATCCTATAAAAGATATAAGGAACGAGCAGGATGTACACCAATAGAACTCTGCGAACTTACATCAATGTTGTCGGATGATGTTAGTGCCACAGCCAACTTTTTTCCTCCAGCTCAGCACCACAGACTGCCGCAGAGTTGGAGGATTCTGCTCCATTGACTAAAGCAGACATGAGGGCACCAATTCAAGTCTATGTTTAATGCGGACATGGCACCTTGTCCAAGCTAACTGACAAAGTGCAAGCCGTGGAGGAAGGTATGGCGGGCACCAATCTGGTACAATGGTGCTGGTCTACGCTACAGAAGCAATGCACAGACCAACAGACACAGATAGCCTCCATGGAGGACAGGGCCAGAGTACGTAATTTAAGAATTCAGGGAGTACCAGAAACGACTGCAAGAGAAGAACTCCCTCACTACAAACTGTCAGAGGCTTATAGCCACAATGCAAATGCCCAAGCAGGCAAAGCAAATAGTGGTAAACTCCTGTTTCTGACTTACAAAGCTTCCAATGCAGCTCAAGATGCACCCAGAGATGTCCTGCTGAAATTAAATCAGGACTCTGACTGCGGAGCAATCATGGGGGCAGTGAGAGGCTTTCCCACTGTGTCGTTTGAAGGGGCTGTGATGAATGCTCCTTAACGTGGACGTTTGTCACAAACTCCTGGAGGAGTGTGGAAGCTACCCTCCTGCCCAGCGATTATGGGCCATATACTTTGTGCCAAAATTAATACTTTGCCTTCTATTCACAAGATATTTCCTGGTTTATTTGTATGGTTCCGATATGTGTGGGATGTATATTTAATAGTTTATGTCTTATGATCTGTAACTGTAGTGCCTGGGGGATAATTCAGTTAAGCAAATGTCTCTTTTGGATATGCCATTGAAACACAAGAGTTTATTTGTCTTCTTGAAAGCTAATGCTCATTACCATATCAAAGGACTTCCTCTCTGAGAGGCAACCAAGACATATGTCAAATGTGAGAAATGGTTTGTACAAAGCCCAGACTTCCAGGCCACTTATGTGTGACTTCTCACACCTTACATAATAGCTTTGTTGGAGTCCCAGCTTCAAAAAGGAACGTGTGTTGTAAGCTCGGACCTTCCATGCAATCAACTCCCTTTTGAAACTGAAAATGTACTTTTGAGGTGTTTTAAGATTGTATGCTTTTTTTTGTACCTGGGAGATAATTGAGTTTGTACTATTCCTGGCTTTACTTTTTGACAGTTGAAATAGAACCTCTTCCTCTGTAAACTCACATGTAACAAATTACTAATTTGTCCTTTTTCCTAACTGAGGTCCATTTCTTTCATTTTCATCTGTAAATACTGAACAAAAATATTCATTGAGGCAGTCAGCTAGACCTTTATCCTCTTCTACATATCTTCCTTCTTTTGTTTTTAATCTAACTAATCCTTGTCTTACTTTACTTTTCTCATTTATGTATCTAAAAATGTTTTGTCCCCTTTTTTATTGACTGGGCTATTTTCTGTTCTGTGTGTGATTTGGAAGCTCTCATAACTTGCTTAGCCTCTTTCTGCCTAATCTTATAGATTTGTCTATCTTCCTTACTCTGACTTTTTTTTACAATTACTAAATGCTAATGTTTTGATTTTTATTATTTCTGCCACATCTGCAGAGTACCACAGTGGTTTCTTTTTTTTTTTTTTGCTTTTACTGACAGGCCTAATTAAATTTTCTGCCTTCAGCAGTGCAACTTTTAAATAATCCCATTTCTCTTGGACTCCATTTAAACTGATCCAGTCTGATAATGACTCCTTTACACATATTCTAATTCTAGAAAAGTATGTTTCTCTAAAGTCTAAAACTTTTGTTTGTGTGTGGTGTGACTCAGTCACTGTTCTTATATTAAATCACTGGATTCTAAACTTTCATCTACACTTATATCTGATACCAAATCTCCATTTGTCAACACTAAATCTAGTATGGCCACTTTACAAGTTGGCTCCTCAACGACTTGTTTTAGAGACAATCCCAGTAGAGAGTTTAGAATATGTGTGCTCATGGCACAAGCAGCTATTTTGGTTTTCCAATTCACATCACGAAGATTAAAGTCACCCATGATGATATCATCCCATTTTATTGTCATTTTAGCTATTTCCTCAACTGGTAGATTATCTAACTCTTCTATTTGTCCTGGGGGCCTATAAATCACACCTACATGAGTTACTGTGTGATTATCAAATTCTAACGTAACCTAACGTATTCTATGTTCGCCTCACTAACTTTTATTTGGCTAGATTTTATGCTATCCTTTACAAACAGGTCCATCCCTCCCCCTTTCTTGCCTTACCTGATTTTTCTATATAAAGAGTTCCCTGGTAATGCTATGTCCCAGTTATTTTTCTCATTATACAAACACAAAAATAAAGCACCGTGCTCACAGCAGCAGTAGCTTAGTATCTAACAGCTCAAAATGCTCAAACATACACTCACAGACACACACATACACTCACATATACACACACATACACACACACACACTCACAGACACACACAAATAATTTATATTTTTAAAATTTTAAAATGTCCACCCAGCCTCCCTACCTGGAGAGCTGGCGTGGATCTGTCCCTGGAGTCCAGTGGGGCTTCAGTGTGGCAGGCGTCTGTGTTCAAAGTAGAGACGGCGATGGAGCTGTGTTTACCCTGGTCTGCTCACTTGCACCGTGCAGGCTGTCTACTGATGCCGGGAGCCAGAATATGATGTCATATTCCAGCTCCCAGCATCAGCAAACAGTGTGCGAGGGAGCAGAACAGGGGGAACACAGCTCTCTCGCCGTCTCTGCCAGGAACAAAGCCCCTCATGACAGGGGGAGGACGGGGCGGCATCCTGGTCTGACAGGAAGTGCTCTTTCAGCGAGCACTTCCTGACAGACCACTCGGCCACGCTACACACAGGCAAGAGAGGAGCAGCACAGCTCTCTCCTCCTGCCAGACCCTGGGGACCTGGGCCAGTGCAGCTGTGCACCGGCCCAAAAGGTATCCAGGAATCCCATGGTCACAGGGGTCATGGCTGCGGCTGGGCCCCCTGGAGTAAGGGGCCCGGTCACAGCTGTGACCCCTGCGACTGTGGTATGTACGCCACTGATTACAAATATGTGTAGGACCTGCCAAAGATGGGGTACATTGACGTTGTGACAGGCGTATTCAATGTATGATCATAAAATGTAACTAAACCCCCATTATTTTTTGCCTAGATTAGGTGTTTTTTAAAAAAAAGTTGCTGTGTAGTAGATAAGGGAGTGCGCTGGATTTTCATTTTTATTGTACAAATATGTCTACTGTCTCTGTGAGCAGTAGCTCCAGGAAGACATCTCACAAGGCCACTATTGTCCAGCTTCACACCTCTTATGATAGAAACCCCCAACAACAACTGCTTTCTATCAGGTCTTGTTCAACATTGACATAGAGGATGGTTGTTCCACAAACTCAGTGCCTGAGCCTGCTCTATAACACCACTACACTTGCTGCCTGAGCCTGTCTCCATAACACCACTACACTCTGAAAGGGCTGAAAATGAATTATGTAGAGCAATCTTTTATCCACAACTCAAAGTCTACCAGATCCTACAGCAATCCATCTGCCATTCCTAGTATGTCTCTGCAGCAGTGGCTTTGCAAAAGTTCCAGCCTGAGTTTGTTTACCAGATAATTTACAAATCTCAGACTTCAAAAATGCAATCTCCTGCCACAATAAAGAGAACTGTCTACAGATTAGACAGCAACCAAATCTCCAAAAAGTGGAACGTGAAACAAATGAATAACAGCTATTTCACTGAACTAAGTGTTCCATTTTAATGAGGTGAGTCATTTAAATGAAACAAATCTTAACTTTTTTTTTGTCCTCCTGTATACCTCAGATTACCTCCAGTTTATCTCCAGAATATCTCCAAGCACACACTTTGAAGCAGCACTCTCCAGAATATCTCCAAGCACACACTTTGAAGCAGCACTCTCCAGAATATCTCCAAGCACACACTTTGAAGCAGCACTCAGACTTGGAATCACTGTGAGGTGGTCGCCATGTTTTGTCTGTTCTGTTCTCTTCCTTCTGCATGAGTGAAGGGGGGCAGGGCTTGAGTACAGGAGGTGGAGTCTGAATGTGGGGGCAGCGTATAAAGGCATGAAAATGGTGGGGATTGGAGCCCTCTGGCAGCCTAAATGCTGCCTTCAGCACTTTCCTCCTTCTTTCCCTTGGACTGAGCTGTCACAGTCCAATGGAAAATTTCCTGTGAGGAGGGGGCAAGTTGAAAAATCCATGGGGAGGCAAGTGCCCCCTTTTGCCCCTCCTTCAGATGCACTCAGCAGAGGGTAAGGATCAAGATAACAATGGAAGCAGCAATTTCTGGAGTAACTCATTCTCCCTCCATTTGTGAACTCACTCTCCCACCATTTGGGAACTCACCCTCCTTCCATGTGTGTTTCCATCATGAAAATCATCGGAATGTGCGCAAAATCAATCAACTCTCTATGTGTACGCTATAAACCCTTTGTAGCCAGGAAATCTTTTACATCGATGTAAACAAAACTCATTATAAAATATCTTAAGCATTTCTAGAAACAAATGAAAATATTACACAAATACAGTGTCTCTAAACAGATATTCATAATATAATACTTTATTAGCTTGAGACAATACAAAGTGCATGTAAAGTACCGAAAAGTGAGTCTCTTATTGTATTCTAAATAATTGACTTCTACCATTTCAAGTCCCTTCTTCTAGACTCTAATGAGCAGATGTTTTAACAAGCACACAAGTGGAAAACCACATTGATTTCTCTGCAACCTCAGATAAATAAGTCAGAATATTTCCTAGTAAACCCCTCTTGGGTTTTTGTGATTTTCTGTGATGAATGGGCTCATAAGAAATAATTGCAGAGGCCAAAATGTAAAATAGAAAAATAGAAAAGGAGTTCGACAGACAGAGGTAGATAGATAGATAGATAGATAGATAGATAGATAAATTAGATAGAACTTTCTATGTTGTGTTTGTGCTTCATCCCTGGGTTGAGTGCTCTGTTTATCATATACATGGTTTCAGGCATCCAGCTTGAAAGACTTTTCCGTGTAAAGTGTACTTAAATTTCCTGTTTTTTCCCCCCCAAATACAATTTTTGAAGAAACCTGAGCTTCCATCTCTTGCAGATACTGCTAGGTCTTCATGGACCTTGTTTTCCTTCAACTGTTAACATTTGTATTGACTTGGAAGGATTTTGCCTCTGGCTCCCAGCATCTACTCCATCTGCAGACCACAAACAGACAGAGCTGCAATGTAAGATCATATATTTATCTACCAAACCCTTCTTAAAAGTTCGAGGCTCGAGTGCACAAGGAGACACAGATCGCCTCTGAAACTGGTCAACACGAGTTATTAAAATTAGAGTATGAACCAGTTCATCTACATGTCTATAGAATAAGGGTAACAGTATCTAGCAAGTATCAAATTATTGACAGTAATCTAGTTATACTATTTAATGGCAGCCATCTGCCTCTGGGCACATTACGCAGGATTTATCTTTGTATAAAACCAATGTTTTCTCGTTCCTGTCTATTTCTATAGTTTAAACCTGGCAGTGCTTGCTGACAGTGCTATTCATTTATACACATTATTCAATGTGTTTGAGCTTAATCACAAATAATAATTCAGAATTACTTAACTGCACGTATTTCGGGTGTTTCCACCATACATTTTCTGAAATGTAACAGAAACTTTAATAAAAAAGGTCTAAGCACTTTTTATTCATTATTTTGAATTACAAGAATATATTTACACACAGTCAATATGACTTTCAAACAATGAATGCCATTTCAATCTTGTAGTCAAGAGGATTCCTTCGAACTTTTTTTAAAGCAATTTAAGAAAGAGCCTATTTCTGGATTAGCAGCAAATGAAAGACAATTCCCCCTCCCCCGCTACCCCACTGTTAATCAGACGGCCTGTCCTGTTATTTCGTGTTTTCTTAGCTAAGGGAAGCTAAACTTAGGATGCAGACAAGAGCTACGGATTGTCTTGGCTCAAAAAAATGGGAGGGCTTGCAGAGGCTACAGACAAGAGATCTATGGCTTTTGCAAGCTGTTCTTAGATACACCCTGATGTAAAATGCATAGATTAATACATGTTTGTTTTCATTGGGGGTATATTTACTAAATAGTAATGTTTTACTCTTTTTGTATTTGGGCAGTGGAGTGTCCCTTTAATCCCCTCTTATTTGTATGAGATACAAATTATTCATTGACTTTATTGTTGCTTCTGAGTGAGCAGGAAGGACATGTCCAAAGCAGAATCTTTGAGAATCCATTTTTCTGTTTGTTTTGTTTTAACCTTTTTGCATAATTTGAATGCATTTTTTACATAATAAATTAAACTATATTAGATCAGCTGAAGAATGGAGAGCCTCTTTATTGTACATGTAGTCCACTTTCTTAAATCGATTTGTTTTAAGAACACATTGTACGTAATGTCCGCGCGTACGTCCAATATATCTAGATGATTCGTCTATAATTCCTTTAAATCATATAAAGGATGAAAGTCAAATGATGGAGCAAAGTGCAAAATAATTATGAGTAGCATAGTCCAATGTACATTAAAATTCAGTATGCTAGTCCGATGTAAATAATTTACTACTTCTCTTCTGTGTCAAGCACTGTACATTACGTAGCATTCAGCTACACAAAGGGCCCAGCAGAGATCGCTCATTAAATTATCTACAAAGTAAATAAAAATAACTAAATAAGTCCTGGAGAGCGGTTACTAGATATTTGAGTTTTCGGCTATCAGTAGATTTACTGGAAATTAATATTGTGTACCTGTATTTTTTTACCATAAATTAGTATTTTCCTTTTTTCAGTGAGATGTAGAAACATAGAATGTGACGGCAGATAAGAACCATTCGGCCCATCTAGTCGGCCCAATTTTCTAATGGGTCTGACAGAGCAAGTGTAATAATAATTAATGAGGCGGTGTAAGAGTGACAGAGGTTTATCAGTGTGTTCTGTTTTACAAATTGCCTGAAGTACTAAAAGTGGGGACCAACGGACACGTTCTCTTGGTGTTTAAATCTCCTGAAGGAGGATAAAAGGTAAACATGGGGGGGGGAGGAGGCTATGATTAGTCACCATGATCAACCCAACATCCCGTGCCTTTGGAAAGAAGATAATTTAAAGGGCAACTATTTTCTTTTTTTCTGAAATCACACCATTGAATAAAACACTAAATAACACCTATAACATGTATTAACCTTCCCACATCATTATTTCTTTTCTTTGGATATAGGTTAACTATTTATCACACAAGTCAGTCCCGACAAAGCAGTGTTTCTGTTTCTCCTCGCTATGCTCTCTCCAGGTGACTGTAAAAAAGTCAAACAGTCAGCTATGACTGACAGGTAGCCATGTTGGAAGGGTTCTGTATGAGGGTAGTGGTTAGTTCAATGCTGTGTTATTTACATTGGATTTTAATGTACAAGCACACATTTCTTAACATATATAAGTAGACATGGTAGTAGAAATGTTTGCAGATGATTAGAATTTGTGGTTTAAAATGTTAGGACACAGGATCTCTAAAGCTCCCTTATTAAGTTACAGTAAGATGTGTAACCTATAGACCCTTCAGTATCAAGGACCAGGACATTTCCAATAAGACTAATCCCGTAGGTCAGTGGTTCCAAACTTTCTGCTCTAGAAACACTTACATTCCAAATATTGTCAGCATCTCCTGAGGAACACAAATGAGAAATTACAATACGACGAAATGTTGGGGTGCCTTGCGATATAGAATTTGGACCAGTACCATCGGTGAAGAGTCTTTCATACCCATCAAAGGATTAAAGACACAAACTGTTTTATAATGTCTGATAACTTCTGATTATTATGTAACCTTCTCTTATCAAAGTTTGTCATCAAAGTTTTCATTTTTGCTTTTTTTGCATTTATTGCTTGTGATCATACGTCACTAACAAGTGTTATAACACCTTGCAGGTTTTAGTGATAATACATGCTAAATAAACCAGTGTGGGTTATCCAAACCTTCCATTTTATATGAGATATACAGAAAATGTCAACATAAATCCTTGAAT